AATTATGGTCTAAACGATGACCCGCGCCCGTCCCGTTCACATCCTAACACAAGATTGTCCACCAAATGCAATGGTGGAACAAAATTGTTAAAAGGGTTAAAACATAGCAAAGATCTTTGAGAAATATAGGGTAGATAGCTCTTGGTTACATGCCCCCTCGCAAAACAAAAACACTTGCCTATTTTTCAAACCACACATCACTACACTTTCAAAACAATTTTCAAAAAAACATTGAAAACCTTTTCAACAGACATACACCTTTGTATACATCCCAACATGGATCATTGCAAAGGTTGCCACCACATTGGCTTCTTTTCAAAACATTTTCAAACCCACACACACAAAGCACCATTTCAAACAATTGAAAATTAAGGCAAGTTGATCTAAGCAAGTAACTAAGAGCCCATGGATAACCATGGATAGAAAGGGTGCTAATACCTTCCCTTTCTATAATCTACTCCCCGAACCCAAGAAAACATCTCAAAGGTTTTTGCTGTGCTTTTTAACCTTTCCTTAGGATAAAATAAAAAGTCGGTGGCGACTCTTGCTCAACCGAAACATTTGCGAAAACAAACGCAAAACTCAAGTCAGTTCTCCCACCGTATCACAACCACCTTTCGACCTGAAACCACTATGGACCCTAGATGTAGAGTCAAGTACTTTATTGCTGATCAAACGTCATTCGTAACTGGATGACTATAAAGACGGTTGATGGGTACTTCACAAAGCATGCTAAGGGACATGAGTGACCTAGATGTAATTTGCTCATCCTGCATAACAGGATAAATGTCTAAGGGCCCAATATTGAACTGGACAAGGGTGACACAGTGTATGCCTTGTGTTCAATATAGACATGAGGGCAAAAGGGTAATTGTACAACACAAATATTATCACGGAAAAGGTTTGGTCAGATCACATGACATTTTCGTGACTTGGATAACAATGATGTGTTGCTAGATACCGCTCACTATTTATTATATTAAATGTGTGATTTAATATAATTGCCAACGTCGCGAAAACCTACAGGGTCACACACATAAGGACAGGTTGATGAGAGATAAAATAAATAAGGAACACCGTAAGGTACGGTGCACTTAAGTGTAATACGGAAAGTGGTAAGGTACCACGTGGATAAGTGATATATGGTACATCATAAGGTATGATGTCCATAAGCTTAATTGGGCTTTTAGCTTATAGCCTTAATTGGGCTTTTAGCTTATAGCTTTAATTGGGCTTTTAGCTTGTAGCCCACACGAGTGATTCTATAAATAGATCCCTTATGATGAAGCAATTTCACTTGATGCAATTTCGTTTTTTGATTCTCTCCCTCACTCAAGGTTTCCGTTCGTGATCAGCTAGCATTGTGACCGGAAGCAATCTGTTCGTGTGGACTGAGTAGAGGCGTTGTTCTTCATCAACGCTCGTGATCACAACATCAAAGGTCTGAATCGCCACAAGAGGTAAATATTTCTATCACTGACCATGCTCATTCGTAAGGATCGCTAAAGGAAAATTTTAAATTCCGCTGCGCTTTTGATCGCAATTTTCCTTCACTTTCTTCTCGGCCGCACGGGCATCCCTCTACTCAGTCAGGATTTTCTTCACCTTTACCATCTCCTTATTATCAACCTTCAACTTTTTAAACTTCACCTCAAGAGACTTGTACACATCTCGGGTTTTTCTCAACTCTAGCTCCTCGAAACTCCCTTCCTCGATGTGAATCACTGACGCGCCTAGGATCCTCATCAAGGCATCAACTTTCTAGGCCAACAAGGTCCTATTACCCAGGAGGTCCATTTCCCTATATGCCAGGGACTCTACATTGTGGACCCCCAAAGAAGAGCCTTCAAAGAAATCCCTGTCGTAGAAGCACGGGGCAGCATAAATCTTTCTTTGCCTTTCTCTTTGGTCAGATTTACCTAGTCATTAGGACTAAGCCTCTTAACCCTCAAGCTCACGGGCAGAGGAGAAGATTTCCCAATAGCTAGATCGGACGAAGAGGTCCCTGACCCAGTCGGAGGCACACCTATTGCATCACCACCCAAGAGGCTATTGGGGCCAACTTCTGCGCCTTCTTGGCCTTGATAGAAGCATTCTTAATTAAACACTCATGAGGAGTAGACATTTTCTCTGCAATAAAACAAGCACGAATTAGTAAAACATAGATATTAGAATAAGCGCAAGCCAAATACGAAACGACTACCTAAATACTTCAGAGGATCTCTGCATTCAAGGAGCTCCTTGACATTGATAAGTTCAGGCTCAAACATGGGATTCTCCTCCTCGTCAACAAGGACCTTTCCCCTCTTGCCCACGTGCTGGACTGGAGGTATTCCCACGACAAAGGCCAACAATCAGTCATAGTGGTCGGTCCCACAAGCAAAGTGCTCCCAGTCCCAGTGAAAGTGAAACCTGTGCACTAGCTCCCTTGTCGCCTCACCCTCCTCAGCCCTCCTCAGTCACCACAGGCTGCCCATCCGGACCACGCTTGGGAAGACTCATAAAATTGTTGAAGATTGCCTTCTCCGACACAGGTTGATTAAGAGGTATCTATCCTTGAAATTTCAAACAGATTCGAGTTAGGCCTTGAATAGCTTCTTGCTCGACTGTTTTAGGGAAACCCATTTGAACTGCCCACCAACGCTTCCTTCTAGAGATAAAAGCATTAGAAAAACAGGGGAACGGTAGCCCCAATCTTCAAATACTCACACAATTTCGAAAGCCCACTGAAAAGCTATCGAGTTAGGATGAAGTTGTGAAGGAGCAAGATGAAAATAGTCAAAGACAACCACCTGGAAGTCTGTGAAAGGGAGCCAGAACCCCAAATATTTGAAAATGATCTCATACATGGGGAACTGATTAACGTTGTACTTCCTTCAGACCCAGTCGTGCTTCCTAGGGACGAAAATGGCCCAATCCTCCTCTGCACTCGGTTGCTTTATCCCTGAGGCCACGACCGTGAACACCTCCTCGGAGTGCTTGGTAAAATATGAGACAATCTCACGGGGACCCAATGCGATCCAGTCCTCGGAGGCCATAGGTGCCTCAGGCACACCCTGCTCGGATGTGCTTTGTCCCGACGTTGTCGATTTAGAATCACTTTGCCCTAACGTACTCTCTTCGGATGCAGTCTGCTCAGATGAATTTTGATCGAAATAACTTTGTCCGCTCATAATCCCGTCCTCGTTGCTACTAGCCATTTTACTTGAAAAATAGAGGACTAAAGTTAATTCGACATCAAATCAAATCCACCCTTCCACCGCTAATCAAGTGAAAGGGCGCATAAAGGCACGGGGACCCTATTCCTGACCAGAGCCCTTACTTAAATAGCAAAACACGGACACGGGGACGATTCCCCCTAACGCGTTAGGCTCCTATTCGTCAGGCCAAACCCTAACCCACGCAAGGAGTGATATCCCCGACGACTGAGTTTTGAACTTCACATGAGGATTCACCAGAAACTCATGCAGTTCATAGCCGAAACCCAGAAAATGGCCCAACCTCTCTGAAAAACTCATCACAACTCGCCGCTGCCAACTCAAACATCAGATATCTCCAACAGATTCACAGCGGAGCCGATGTCCTCATATGGTAGAACCACTGTCAGGCGCCAATAAACCGCAAAAAAATTCTCCCCATTAAACTACATTAATCCTAATTGAATGCATCTCTAAAGGAGAAATAAGAAAATCTAGCCTAGAACAGAGATGAAATTCACAGAAATAATGGAAAATCAAGAAACTTACTTGGTCGGGGAGGATCAACGACAAGCGAGCAGAAACTTTGGTGGAGGACGACTGTGCGTTACTGAACTAAAGGAAACGAGCAGAAGATAGCAAGCGAAAAAGTGAAAATGAAGCTTCCTCTATCCCATTTATAGGAAGCCTCACTAGCACGTGAGCGGACACGCGCCTAGGTAAGCCTAGGGGTCGTCATCATTATGCCTTAGCCCTTAGACTTGCCATAATCATACATTAATAACAACACATGGCTCGATACAAGCATGACACGCAACTCTCAGAGTCCAATCAACCATTCGGCTCCTCGCTCTCCGAGCATGCAAGACCACATTCGGTCCCCTCGACACACTTATCCCTGAACGCGTCCTAAAACATCCTCGTCTCCTACAACAAAAACTAAAGGCATTGTCACCTCCTCGACATACGGGTTGACTCTAAGTCATCACTCCTACGTCTAGGAGCAACAACTTGGGGGGCTCCTATTCTGGACTAACCCAATGGCTAAACATGGGCCAATCCGCTTCTATATGCAAGACGGGTCAATGACCTTGGCCCAATAAAACATGAAGGATAAAGGATACTTTATCCCTTCTGCTCTTCAACTGAGGAGTCCTGGCCACCAGAGTCTCCCAGGTTACTTCTGCTCGCTCAAACAGGTTATTCCTCATCCTTCCCGATTGCACAAGGATAGTCACCCAGGAGCGACCAGAAATCACACCCGCCCGTGAGCCACTTACTCGACCGTTGTAGCGGCTAGTTACGGGCACCTCTGGACGATATAACGGCTAACTCTTGACATTTACTTATTTTTGAGAAACCTGATATCCAGACCCAAAATAAGAACCAGTGATCAAGTGCCAGAGACATTATATAAACTCTTACACTTGTGAGGGTCAGGTATCCAATATTCACACTAAAAACCCTAATCTCTTTCTTGTATCTCTTTGCACTCTTTTTTACTTGATCGTCAGAATATATTGCAGGTACACCCCCTATTATCTTACAAATCCAGCCTAATAGACATCATCTTTTGTCCCACTTTTAAATTCTAATCAACCAATAAGATCACATACACTCACAAATCAAGTCATTACCACAAATCAAGTCATTACCACAGTTATCAGTGACAAGTTTACAGGGGTGCGGGCTGGAGCAGTTGCATCCCTCACTTTTTTTAAATTTTTTTTCAAATATCAAACATGTCATTTTGGATTTAATAATAATAATAATAATAATAAGTATATCAAAGCAAGTTTCATACGCTACCTTTGCTTTTCCAACGTTACAGATTCACTTGTAAAACAAAAAAGAAAACTTTCCATCTTCTTCGTTTGCTACACGCCTACACTCATAAATCAAGTCGCCACCACAGTTACACATTATCTCTGTAGCTGCGCGGCAGTAGCGGTAACGACGTTGTTTGTTCATAGCTTCAACGCTTACGGTGATGACATTTTTGTTCACGACTTAAAGTTCAATAACAGTTTCGACAACGATTTTGCCGGCGGCTTCGATGACTTCGTTCACGGTTTGTTCACTGATTTTTTCTTATTTGTGTTGTTGAATGATGATGAACTGATTTATTCTTAAAATTTCTATGTTTTATTCAATAGATTTTCAATGTTTATTATATATTTATTATATGTTTATCATTTATCGTGAAATGAAATTATTTATAATCATATGCCAAAACTTTCTAGCGGTGGTGTCGGTGCATCATAATGATTAATGCCTATAAAGATAGCAACTATTTTGCAGAAAAATTGTAGCATGATAAATTTTGTATTTTTATTTATTCTAGATTTAGTGACTAAATTTTAACATTTTGTTTATTCTAGATTTAGTTGGAACTTTGAACACTTTCATTACAATTCAGTGGCTTTTTTCCATTGACAAAGATTAGTTGGTTTTTTTTGTCCACGTTATATTCATAGATTTAGTTTGGTTTTATTAGATTTTGGTGTGATTGTTTGAAAAATGCAATTGATGGTATTTTTAGTAGTTATATAATGGTTGAAGATAAGACAATTGAAGCATTTTTTAAATGAAAAAGTTTTCGATAAGGATGAAAATTGTATAGATTCAACATCAACATTTGAGGAGTAAGCTTCTAGTGATCAAACAATTTAAGTTCAATCAAATGAGTAATCTCGTAAAATTCAAAAAGTCATCGTAGAAGAATTGGTGTCAATTGATTATCTTAATTGGGGTGCATATCAATGTCAAGTTGAAAAGTATCTCTTTAATGGAGATAAATATTCAAGACGATTGCAAGCATTTTGATTTAAAATGTTTCATTCATGGTTAGAATATTCTCCAACTAATAATGTTGCTTATCGTTTATTTTGTTACTTGTTCATCAAAAAAATCTAGTGGACAACTTGGAGCTAATGTGTTTACTAGAAAATGATTTAAGACATTGAGAAAAGTCAAAGAAATTTTTTTTTCTTAATCATCTTGCAGGAAATCCTTGTTCACCTCATAATAATGCTTTGAAATCTTGTCAAGACTTTTTCAATCAATCAATTCGCATTAGAAATATTCTTAATGTACAGTGTGTCGATTAAGTCATTCAAAATAGACTTCGTCTAAAGAGCTATGCAATGACAAATCATTTGGATAAAAAATAAATGTAACTTTCTTGAAATGGTAAAACTCTTCCATATAATTCAAAGTATATCTCCCATTCAATTCAAAAGGAAATTTTGCATATCATTTCTAATAAAACGAAAAGTTATATTCGAGAACAGATTGGGGATTCTAAAGTTTGCATGATTGTTGATGAGAAAATGACTATTATCTTGAGGTTTGTGGATAAAAATGTGTGTATTCAAGAACAATTTTTTGAGTTTGTGCATGTTAAAGACATTATGATGGTCACTCTTAAATGTAATTTGTGGACAGGTATGATGGTGCTAGTAATTTGTGGAATGAATTGTAGACACTATTTCTCAAGGATTGTCCACATTGTTTTGTACACAAATTACAACTTACTGAGAAATTTTTATTGTTCATGAATTCTTTTCACACTTGACTCTTATTGCCAATGTTGTATGTTCCTCTAGTAAACACCATACGCCATGATGAATTGCAAGATGCAAGGAAATTTCAAATTTGTTAGAGATTGCTGAATTTGATAGGTAAAGGACAAAATCTGATTGGCAATTTGAAACGAGCCGGAGATAACATTAGAGCTCACGTTTTTCTTCTATTTGTAGTATGATAGGTTTGCATAATACTTATGTGGTTCTCAAGGATATTTAAAAAAATGGCAGAAATTATGCTACAGGTGAAGATGCTCTATAGGAACTATGTGGTTCTCAAGGATATTAAAAAAAATGGCAGAAATTATGCTACAGGTAAAGATGCTCTATAGGAACTACAGATAGTGTGTCAAGCTTTACAATAGAAACCAGATTTTGCACAAGATATATTAATTTTGCATTTGATGAGAAGTTATCAAAATGTACTAGTGTTTATATATTGTACACATCATCAAATGGATCACATCACAATGAGTCAAGTAAATCTCTTTTGTGTTATATGAACTATGTTTGAATGTCAGAATTGTGTAAAACTCTACAAAATACAGGGAAGGCAAATACAAGATGGAAGATGAATAATAGAAGGCGGTATTTTAATTTGAGGTTGGATATCTCTATTTATATACTCTATTTATTTTGTGCAAGTTATTTTAAGTATTTGGAAAAATTATATTTAAATTTTATAAAATTTTAATAAATTGCAATTATAATATTTTAGTTAATTTTGTCGCCCTGATATCTGATATTTTAGGCAAGATGAAAAACTTCTAAGCATTTTGCAGCTACTGCCAAAAAAACACAGCAAAACTACATTCTTTCCATACTTGTTACAAATAATTTCAAAATATTATTTTTTATACAATGATTTGTATGTTGCTACCAAGGACAATTCTCCACTTTCATACATAGAATGGAATCAACTGAATGGCTTTATGTTAATGCAAAGAATCAGAAATAAAGCCAAAGTAAAATATAAAAAATATAAATATAGTCAGATATAGCTTTCTAGACTAGCAATTTTCATCAAATGATATGCTCAGCGCCCAGTGCTTATTCATCATTTAAATAATCAACAAAAATCATTATTAAAAAACAGTACAGAATTTTTTTTTTTTAAAGTTGAAGATTGAAATGGATCCTCAGAGATTATGCTTATAGTTGACATCAAAATAAACATTCAGGTCTCAAAGATTTCATGCCATCACAGGATCCATCATATTTCATCAATACCAAAAACAGATAAAATCGAAGAAAATTGGTGATTTAGCAGCCTGTTTATTCACTGCACCGGTGGAAATCACGACGGTGAAGCGACTCAACACGGCTGCGAAAATCTATGCCTCTTACAATCATAGACGATGAGATAAACAATGAATCAATGGAAGATGAATCAGAGATATCTCAAGGGCAAATGAAAAAATTGAAAAATTCATGCGAATAGAATAAATCTAGAGAGAACAGGATTTGTGGATATTTCAGCTGCGCTATTACAAATTGAAGGCATTCTTCTGAGATTTATAGGGAGAATACTTTGAATTAGGTTTTTTTTTTCCTATGCGGAAAAGACTGCGAGAACCTCTTTTATATTTTTTATTACGAGTTTGCCCTAACTTGCTTTATATTTTTTTTGTTGGTTAATGAACTAAAGAGACCGAAGGGCCTCCAAACAAAAAGCCAAGTCTTGAATGCTCGTCTAATAATTTAGAGGGTTATTTTTTCCACATAATGAAGTGAGGGTGAATCATGAAAATTTGAATTTATTGTTCATTTTTTTTTGGAGATGCACTAAAATACATATAATGTTGTATAACTCAGTCACATATTTCATATTTGTTTAAAAATAATTTGGAGATGCATATACATAATCACTCCCAAAAAATTATAGAGATGTATCTCGAGATTAACTCCTGAAAATATATTGTACTTCAAAATTCAACCATTCACTTCAATTTATAAAATAATGGACTGGAGAAGCATTTTTATAATTTTTTAGGGGTGATTATGTAGATGTATCTCTGAAATAATCTTATGAGTTTTTGTCTTTGTAGCAAGTGTTTCAAATTAATATTTTTTTATCAAATGATGATTATTTAATGATGATTACATACTAATGATATATTAATATCATGCTAATTATACTAAGGCAATTCAAAGATGTTTGACATAAATTTAAACAATAATTCATCATCTAAATGTTAGCACGATACAATTGTTACCAAAATACAAATAAAAATAAATTATTGTGTATTTCTAACCACTTTGTTTCTCCTCTATTTTTGCCTATACCCTAAGGCATTTTATGCCTCGAGTAAGATGGTCTGTAAGACGGCCATATTAGGACTACCTTTCTCAATGTCTCATGTCTCAACGGCATATCTCGCAATATGCGTAATACGTTGATATGCCAACAACGAGTCAGTTGTGTGGTCATCCCCGACCCGTTCTTCTTCCAATATCTCCTGATGAGCGAGGCTAGATGGTGCTCTGCGACATTCGGTATCATGTAAGGTTGTGACACTCAATAGAAGCATTAGATGCTTTGTGCATAAGACCATGGATAAGGAGTTGGTACATTGTGCCTCGTCTTGTACCAGATGACTATAGAAATCATCAAATATGGCAACAAGATCTCTATGGTGAACTGTCGAAAGAGCAGACACAGATGGAGATCTAAGAATAATCTGAAGAAAATCAAACTGGCACATGACCGACTCACGAAGATGTGGATACATGAGATGTGACCCACAAACCAACCATCTAGAGTAAAAGGTTATGTCGTCCAAGGAACGTGTTTGACGTGATCGTCGTACAACAGAAGTATATGCCATCTGCTATAGTATGGGTCAATAAACACCCAGAACGACTATATCGCTCGATTCCCTGTGTATGGGGCAAAGGCACAAGCACGTGGTCGATCCTCAATGTAGTCCATCTCATGTTTCTACCCAGATATGCGAGGAAAGTTAGAGATGATCCACGCCTGACAATGATTCAGATAAAATATTTGTAACAAACTTAACACAAGAGTTTTTAAAATATTAGTAACAGTAAATGTTGTAAAATAAATTACCATAAATAACGTGTAGCTTCAAGACATCTTTCTTGTCTTCCAAAGATAAGCTTCGCCTAGTTTACAGTACAAATAAACCAAACACGCGGCTCCCCCATTTATACTCGTGGATTTGCTCTAAATTGGTTAAGTGTGTCAAGTAGACTATGTTCGACATGTGACTTCAAGCACAAGAGAGGGCGAATTATGATATTTAAAATTCACGATTACTTTTATATTTTTCTCGATTATCCTTGAAGTTTGTATTAGTAGTTTCTAAGAGTAAATAGCAGCAGAAAACAAAATTGTAAATGACATAGATAAAAAAGAGTAGGGGGTAAAGAGATTGCACGAAAAAAGTTATTCAAGTTTGACTAAATGTCGGCCTATTCTTGTTCCCAAGAGATCTTCTTGAAATTTTGACTATAAACTTTTGAGCTTTTACAAGTTATGCCCAAGAACCTTAAGACAATTTGATCTTAAGATTTTTACAAGTTTATCCCCAACCAAAGAAAACTTTTACCGATAAGCTAAAATATCTTCTTAGAAATTTTCAGGTTGATCTCAATAACCAAAAACAAAACTTTTTTCCTGCAAAGCTCAATAAACCAAAATAGAGATTTTATGATTGGTTTATCTCAAGAACTAAAATTTTGTTTCTCATGGGACATATGTTGGGCCAGATGTTTGGGGCAACATGTCCAACTAGTTAAACCAGGTTTCATAAAATATGACAACAACACAAAATTAAAAACAAATCAATAAAGAACACAAGAGAATTAGTAACCCGGATCAAAGCAAATCACACCCACATCTCGGGGGCATCCAACCTAAAAAAGGAAATTCACTCTTCTATATAATTAATACAAAATGTCTTAGATGAAAAATCCCTTTGTTCAATGCCCATCTTCTTATTACTATCCTAATATCTTTTTATTTAGGTCTCCCACTAAATATGGGAATCTTCTCTAACTTTCTCTCAATCATTAATCCCAAATGATTAACTTTAATAAACACAATGATAAATATTGAAATATATCTCAACTAAACAAACCAACTTTTAAGCCTTATGAATGAAGCTGAAATTCTGGCACACAAATTTCAGATGTCGAACCAGATGTTGCGACACTGGGATCAAATCAGTAAACCCAACAGAAACAAATATGCAATTAAAATAAGTTGCAGAAAGAAAATAACACCAGAAATTGTTAACTCGGTTTTGTGCAACTCTACCTACATATGAGAGCTACCAAGCCAAGGAGAAAACCCACTAAAAAGAATTAGTTTGAAGCTTTAAATAACCCCTTGTTTACAACCTTCTCTTTTAATATCTACTCGTGCAATTTCTATCTAAGATTCTCCTAGATATGAGACCTTTCTCACTTCCAAATAGTCAGAACCCCGTGACAAACTTTCAACAATAATAATATAAAAAAAAAGACAATCTTCAAAGACAAAAATCAGTCTTGCTTAAAAGCTTTTGACTAAAGAACAAAAGGTAACTTGGCCTACAATTCACTCTTGCTTAAAAGCTTTCGAGTGATTGACAAACTAAACAGTCCACCTCTAACATTAAAAAGAGGATCACAATGAACAAAGAAAAACTAAAAACCCTAAACCCTTATTTCATGCACATTGTTTTTTCACGGCTTCTCCAAGTGTTTTAGGTTTGGAATGTCTTCTTAAATAGACTCTTGCAAACATGGGCTTGGACTCTTCATGCAAATCCAATATTCCAACTATAAATTAATTGCAAAGTCTTCTGCACAATAATAGGAGCTAAAATACAAAGTTTCATAAAAAGGCACAAAGATCCTTTTTATGAAACTAAAACAAAACAACAAATTTCACAAAACATCCTTGTTTGGCTGCGACTGAATGAGTAACAAAAACATACAAAATCTTCAAATTTATTAAGCTAATC